ACACAGGCAGATTTTTCAACCGGCCACGTGCTGAAATGTATCCCACCCACCCCCTCCGCAGGGACAGGTGTCAAATGCCCAGCCAGGGAGCACGTGGGCCCCCGCAGCCCTTTCTCCGGCCGGAGGGTCTGCCGGGAGCGAGCGGAGGATCGCCTGGCATCTGGCCGGAGTGACCCTGCGCCACGATCTCCCCCTCTTCGCGCCCCCTCGTGAGGCGGGCATGGCAGGCAAAGTGAGCTGCGCCTTTTCCAAACGCTGCTTGGCCAGGTGAGCGGCAGGCGAAGTCCCAGGGCACGAGGGGGCAAGCGGGCACCACCACCACCACCACCCGCTGAGAGTTGGCACACCAAGAGGGAAGCCGGGGTGGGCTGGACACCCTGGAGGCTTGAGCCAGAGGGGGGAGCCAGAGTCCACTTCCGTGCTCTGCCCACGGGTCAGATAAATCAGCATGGCAGCCATAAGGACATGTGAAACTTGGGATGGGAGTTAAAGAGACTTTCAATCTCTCGGTAGTGGTTGCCATCTTGACCCCCCCTCCCCCTTTCCCTTTCCCAGGCACACCCATCAGGGTTGGTTTTGGGGAGGGGGGCATGGAGCAGACTGTTTCCTTTTAAATCCCTTCCCCTTCTTTGTAGCCCTGAAAATTTTGGGAACAAAATATCCCTCCTCCTCCTCCTCCTCCTCTTCTTCTTCTTCTTCTCCTCCTCCTCCTCCTTCTCCTTCTTCTCATCTCCTTCTTCTCATCTTCTTCTTCTCCTTCTTCTTCTTTTTCTTCTCCTCCTCCCCCTCCCCCTCCTCCCTGCGTTGTCTGCCGATGTCCGTAAGCGGCTATTTTTACCTTGCCAGCGGTGGGTGGGGGGCTTCTGCGGGTGGGCATGTCCCGAGGGCTTGTATAAATAAGCTAAGCTGGCACCGATTCGCTTCCGTCTCTTCCCCCCCACCACCACCTAAGGCGATGCCCTCTGCATATGCTCAGAGGCCTTAACCAGTGGCCGCTGCCCACCAGCCAAGGCGGAGGAACCGCGCAGCGCCGGGGTGATTCCTGCCCGCTGAGCCGCGGCGTGAAATAAGAGGCCGGGCGCGCTGCGACCCCCGCCCTGCCTTGCCCGCTCCTGCAGCCGCGGCTCGGGGGACGCTCGAGGGNAACCAACTGATACACTTTCTACAGTATGTAAGGAAGGAAGATTTTATGTGTTGTGTTTGTTTTGAAAATTAAAAATTAAAAAAAAGAAAAAGAAATTCGGGGGAAGATATGGAGCCCAGGCGATACGCCAGAAAGTAGAAAAAGGGGGGGGGGAGAGGGAAGAAAATAATAATACATAAGTATATATTCAAAAGTAACATACAAAGAGGGGAAAACATAATCAGGATAGATTTGAGAAGGAAAGGGAACAAGAAATGATATTCAACGATTTTTGGGTCTGCGGAAATATCACCCCAAGAAAATAAAAATTAAGAGCTGGAAGAAACACCTACAATAGAAAAAGAAAGAGAGGAGGAGAGGAGAGGAAGAGAAGGGAAGGAAGATAGAGGTGAGGAGAAGAAGATGGAAGGGAGAAGGAGAGAGGGTAGGAGGGGGAAGAGGAAGAGAGGAGTAAGGGAAAGGTAAGGGAAGGGAAAGGAAAGAGGAAGGAAGGAAGTAGAGAAGGGAGGGAGAGAGAAAAGAAAGGACCTACAACAATAGAAAAATGAAGGAAGAGAGGAGGAGAGGAAGAGAAGGGAAGGAAGGAAGACAGAGGTGAGGAGAGGAAGATGGAGGAGAGAAGGAGAGAGGGTGGGAAGAGGAAGAGAGGAGTAGGGGAGAGGTAAGGGAAGAAGGAAGGGAAAAAAGAGGAAGGAAGAAAGCAGAGGAGGGAGGGAGAAAAGAAAGGGAAAAGAAAGTGGTGTCAAACAGGAGGAAGGGATGGGAAACAAAGCAACCCAAATGACATGTTATAACCTATTAAATGGAACGACAAATGTATAAGACGAATGTAAAAAAGAATAATAACCATGTGAATGTATGCCTATAATTGTATATAGAGAACAAAAAATTTAAAAAAAAAACTTTTCCAGGAGAGTCACAGGGGGGGGGGGGCTACCTTTATCCTCCCCCCAATTTCTGGACTGTGTGTGTGTGTGTGTGTGTGTGTGT